ACCACCTGTGCTCCCAGACCCTTAAGCCCCACTCCCAAATCCCCGTAGCGCCTCATGACCCAGCTGGGAGCGCTCCGAGCTGTGTCATTGGTGCGCATTAATGGCTGGTTTTAATCCATCTGGAGGTGGGAGGAGGGGCTGGGGAACTAAAAATAGCTCAGTGCTAGGGAGACAGGTAGGGAAAGTGCAGGCTGAGGGCTGGGGCCAGTAAGTGCACTAGGAACTACACTGAAGTTCAGTTAGATCAGTGTCGCACAACCTGATCTAAGTTAGATTACCTCAGGTGTACACTTAACTTAGATTGGGTTGGCCTTCTTTAGACCGATGTAACCTTCCTGAATTACTTTACAGTTCGCACTTAGATCAAGCTAACTAAAGATCTAAGTGTAAGGCCCGCACCTGGGTAAACTAAGTTGGCTCAGGTGGCCATTTTTAACATGACCTAACCTCCCCTTAACCTCCCCAAATATCTGTATGTACCCTAAGGATGAACATGATAGCAGTCTTCAAATATTTATTAGACTGCAATAAAGGCGATGGAGAAATATTTTTCTCCTGTAGAGACTTAGAACATATTGCAGAAGATTTGAACTTCAGCAAAGCAGATTATATAAATTCTCAGGAAAAACTTTTTTTACCTGTAAATGCATTAGGACAATAGAACAATCTGTCTAGGGGTGTTGTGAATTTCTTTCATTGGAGGATTTCAAGAAGAGGCTGAACAAACCTCTGACTGAGATGGCTTAGGGATAGCAAATTCTGCTTCTGTTCAGGGAACTGCATTATATGACCACTGAGGTCCCTTCCTGAGTCTGATTCTATAAAAGTATTGGTACTAATATGGGTCTACTGGAACCAAAGTGATAAGGATAAACAATTATTTTCAAAAAGTTGTTTTTTAGCATTTTAGTTAAAGAATGTATGTAAATCTGTTATCAAGAGATGAAATACTCTGATTTTGTAATAAACCATAATGTATTTATTTGTAATGATATATATGAGAGACAAAATAATTATTGCAATTTAATAAACAGTTTTTTTAATAAAATGGGAGAGAAACTATTGCATGCATAAGCATTTTTTGTTAGGCTTTGCAGCCTATTTACTGACTCTACTCAAACAAATTGCTACATGTTTATGGTATAATAAATTTATTTTTATTGTTAACTAGTAACAAATATTTTCATCATTGTATTAAACTCAGAGCAAATTTCTTTCTTAAACTGAAAATAATAAACTGTGAAATAAACACCCTACCCCAAAAACATAAGTAAATTTTCCTTGAAGGTTTAATGCTGTTTTCAAAAAGGATCGCAACTTCATATATTAAGTTTTTCTTTTTTTATGCAGGTTTACTAGTTTTATCATAAATAATGAGCTTGGTGTTATTTTTTTAAAGTAGTTTTATCAAATGCACATCTCAGTGCCTGTAAACAATAGGATAATTGCAACAGTTATATGTCCCCAAATTTGCTTGATCTGTATGTACAAGTGACTGAAGATAGGTACAGGGACTTAAAACATACCAGCGATTTAGGAGTACCCACTGCAGCTATTATCAAGGCTCCCATTGCATAGCTCATAATTTAGGGTAGATTTTTCTTAGCCTTCCACATGATGATTCTGTGCACCATGTGTTGAGGCAGGTGGGGCAATAGTGTAGTAAATAAAAGTTTGATGCTGTTTCTGTAGTATCTCTTGTTGATCAGATTCTGATACCTTTACCTCTGTCATAGCACTTACTTTGTAGGTATTCACATTAAAATCATTATGGGCTGGATCCAGTAGAATACATGGGAATCTTTCCATTGACTTCATCGGGCAACAAATTTGTCCCAATATAAATAAGAATAAAAGAGTTTGGCTCTATGGATCTGATATTATTTCCTTGAAGCCAAGAGAAAAACAACCCCTGACCTTACAGTACGTATTAACCTCTTAAGCCTCTCTACTGGTGGGGTGCCTTCAAGGCAAAAACAGCAGAGCAGCTGTATTTACATTATGTAAAGTAGTGGAGAACCTATGAGACACAACTTTACAGGCTGCTGCAGATAGTACCTTAATGTAGGCAGAAAAGATGGTGTGACAACAATGGACGCAGATTTACTGGCCAGATTTGATGTAGGAAACTAGCTGCAGTGGTTATCAAGGGATAGCTGCTTCAGGCACTCTGACTGAACCTGAAGAATTCTGGGGGGGCCAAGGATCCCTTTCTTCATTCCTTTGTTTGTAGCATATGTTCATATGAGCAGATTCTTTTTCATTTTTGTGCTTTTCCCTTCTGTCTTGTCTACCACACACACTGTGTTTCCTCTTTAACACTTGATAGCTGTAAAATGCAAGTTTTCCAACTGTCACAATTAGTATGAGTTGAAAAACACAAACTTTGTAACATTGAGCAATCTGCTCTTGCTGGTTTAATTTTTTTCACTGTAGTTGGATCCCATTTTTTCTCTCTTGTAGTTGGGCCATCGCTTTTTAAAATTGTTCCAAATGTATTAATATGTTTATATTTAAACAAGTATCAACTACTGCAATCCGTTCCTTGCAGGCAGTGGCTATTACATAAATGCTTTGAGTTAGGCCATCGTAGGAGCAATTACTTTTCAAAACAGATCTCCGTGGAACCTGGTTGAGTCTTAGGGACCAGTTAATTCACAAGGTATTTAAGTTTTGCTGCAGAGAAAGATTTTCATTTAAGAGAGCATTTTAGCTCAGTAGGCAAAACTTACAAGTAATGGCTCAGTGACAAACACTGTATGCCCATACTAAGCAGAAGAGTTGTAAGCTACAGGTAATCTGTGTCTTTCCCTTGGATGCAACCAATTTACTTGAGCTGTGCATCTTTAGTTTTGGTACTGACTTTTCATAATAGTGTCTGAGGCTGATTGCAGGTTCCAGGATATGGCTTTTAATTTACTGAACACGGGTCAGTATTTTAGGAAACTTGGTCTATAATTAATCTATCTCTATATAGATATACTACTAAAGGAAAATCTCTATAGTTGTTGCAGATACAAAGCCACAGCTGTGTGATCCTGGTAAAATGGAAAAGCATGGCATCTGTAACAGTAAGCATTTTGTTCTGACTTTTAATATTTTCTTTATTGACATAATCCAATGCTTTAATCTATTTATTAATTTATTTACCTTTTTAGTTAAATAAATTAACTTGCCCTTCTGCCTAAAATAAATTAAGATAATGCTGCTAATGATCAGATAAGAAACAGCTTAAGACTCAGTAAATATCAAGAGAAATTAAAGAGAAATCAACATTATCATTATTTAAAAAGTAAGTTCTTATTATCAGGTGTATTACCCAGTCAGTCAGAGTTGCAGGTTATAGCCTTCTCAGAGCTGAAATCATATCTTTATGGTATAAAATGCTGTGCACCTTAAATGTCAGATACAGATGTTAAATAAATAAAATCTATGTTAATAACATGGAATGACAAGGCACTCTGATTTGCAGAATCAGTTGATACTTCTATGAGCATCACTTGTGTTGCCTGCTTCTCCATCACACCTCAACCACTAGCATCTCTGTTCACAGGCTAAGAAACTGTGCCATCTGTCTTACTTCATTGCCCTTTTACCTTTCCCCATTTCTAAAAACAAATAAAAAATTGATATTCAGATTTTCTTAAAACAAACATAGAAAATCTCCTTTAATTTTTTTATTCAGCCCCGTAGACACAGATATAACAGATGTCCGGAAAAAAAAACTTTTCTCATTTTTATAATTAAAAGAAAATATATTCTTTTTGTTATTCACACACTTTTTAAAATGTAAGGCCAGGTCCAGACATTACGTTTTTATAAACAATCAGAAACTTGTCTATAGCTGTAGCAGAACAGAAGTTTAGCACACAAAATCAGTCTGTACCCATAACAGAACAGAAGTTCTAAACATAGACTGGTTTAAAAATGGCTGAACCCAACTGAACCCCACCCCACCAGAGGGAAAATGTGTGTTCTGTTTCTTACCAAAGTAAACTACGCCGCTTACAGAAAACTGCATAACTAAAATCAATTCCATGTTGGGCTTATTCAGTGTCTGTACCTAGCCATAAAGTATACATAGTATATGTGTGGAAAGAATAATGCTCTTCTTTTTATAATTGATATTTAAACTTCCTCAGTGTGAGGTTAGTCAAGATAAGCCATTGTTGAGTCTCCTCAAAATCAAATAATGAACTTACATTTTTATCTGTCTAGGCAAACTACCTCCTTCATCCTCCCCATCTCTTCCACCACTACCTCCAGCTACCCCTGAAGTTGTGGCAGAGACCGTGGAAGCCACTATTTACTTAAGGTGCAACTTTGACTTTCCTCTTGCAAACAGTTCAGTGGGGTTTATTGTTGCTTGGTCCAGGCTTTCTTCTACAGGCCTTAAGGAGGAATTGAAACAAGAAACAACAGTTCAGACATTTTCACTTTTAGAACTGGATGGCATAAACCTCAGACTTGGAGACAAGGTATGCTTAAAAACAATTATAATCTTTCTATTTTTTTGTAAATATGTTATTTTCCTCAGTGACCCACCTATCTACCCACCTATCATTTCATATATATTCAGCTGAGAGCAACACTAAACATTAGAGGCAGGGTCACAGCACCTTTCTATATAATTTTTCTTGGCAGCAGTACCATGCTTCCAGTTGTTGTTTATATCTCTGTTGCCAATAAGAGAGCAGAAACCTCATGAATACATCAGAAGCAATTATTGCCATCAAGGTCTTGGGGCTTTTAAGTACTGTGTCTGTAACACTCCCACTAGCAAGTGTATAATTCAAGCTCGATCCTGCTCCTTTTTACTTTCAACTGTGGTCTTGTCTGATCCTGTAAAGTAACCAGGTTTGGTATGGATTGGCACTTCAATAATAGCCTGTAACACCTACCTGCAGCAGGGAATTGTATTCTTCCCAGTAGTAAACCACTCCATTAATATGGTATTCTGAACACTAGGTGGTTATAGGTTCTGTCTTTTAGGTGAGATGTAAAACTTAAATGCTTGATTACTAGGGGGTATACCAAACTTGAGGCAGCCAGCTGATTTCACAGGCAGATCCCAGAGCTGGCTGCCATTTTTGCGGGCTGGTATGCAGGAGCAGGAGCTGGACTCCCCGCTCCCCCCGGCAGTCCATCCGTCCCTGCAAATCACCACATGGCCTGTAACTGTGGCTTAATTACCCTGGTTAAGGCCAGGGAAGCCATTCATCCATATGTTATTAAGTGTGGATGAATGGCTTCCCTAGGCTTAATCAGGGTAATTAAACTGTAGTTTTGGACCATCCCCAAGCAGGGGGTTCCATGATTTTGGTGGGCTTCCTGAAACAAACAAACAACCCCCCCAACAACTTACTGGCAAGCAGAGAAAAGGCCAGGAAGCCCTACAGTCTTGGAGCATGGGGGAAAGGCAGGTAGGGAGGAAAGGGAAGGGGTAAGAGTTGGGGGGGGCTGCTCAAAACAGGAAGTACAGAGGCA